TACTGGGTAACGCTAGTCTGGACAGTCTTAAAAGCGGAGGGTGGAACCGCCCGTTGGCGCTTGCTAAATCCTGCTGAGCAATCCACCCAAGTGTGCAGACAAAAAAGTAAACTCGACCGAGGATTCAGCAGTCCGGTCATTTTACACGAGAACTACGAGAGAGCGCTTGAAATGCTAGCGAGGTCGAAATGACTTGGCGCGTAGCTCTCGGCCAGTATCTTTACGTTCCATGCGCTAACCGTCTGCGAGAAGATGCAGCCGAAACAGACAACTTTGGCTCTATAGTCGCCGGTTGATTTTTGGGCTTCAGTCATAAGAGATGTGGATATACTGTCCCCTAAATAAACGATCCCCTCAGTCTAGATGAAAGCGAGCACATCCGGTGCGCAAAGTCGCAGGACTCCGAAAGACATGTTTAGTCGTAAAAATGGTGCAAAAAAGTGCGTGCGAGATTAACAGCTGACAAGGCAGATAAAAAAGGCAGCGCGGGCGGAAGTGCCTTGCAGAGGAAAGGCAGACTGGAATGCAGGGATTAGGCTAAAGTACGGAAGAAAAGCATGCATGCGGGTGTTAGTTACTAAGCTGCCGCAAGACGCAGATGGAATGGGCATGTCGCAGAACGCGAAAGACAAGTAGAAAAAAAAACCAAGGCAATGAGAGGCACAGCCAGAAGTGGAGGGGAATGAAGCCAGGGATGGAATGCCCACAGACTGCTACGAAATCCAGTTGGATGATCAGGTTCAGGGGTCGGTTAAGCATCGTCACACTTTACGAGGTAGATGACCTTTCCGGGGGAGATATGCTTGACGGGTAAGAGACGAGGTGCCGGTGGAGTGACAGAGGAGGGCTGGACGGAGGCGTGTCTCTCAACAGGAGATGACGAGGGGACTGAAAACGGCACGTCGACCGCTAGAAAAAGTACGAGACAGCAAATTTGGGAATTTTATTTCAGAAGTCAGCTACATCATCTAGACGCAGGCCCGGCGCTGGTAGCAAAGCCCAGAACCGCGTGAAAGAGCCTTACGCATCAAGAGCAAGTTCCGCGGAAACCATTCGCTCTTTCTTCTAACGAGAAAACCCCTGGGTGCCTCATTAATTCGATTGAGAAAGTGGGCTTGCACTTTTATTTCTAGATTCCTGCTGTCTCTGCTCGACCAGAGCCCAGTTTAGACTACTGAACGAAGAGAAGCAAATTTTAGTTTTGGTGGGAACTTGTCCATACACTGCATCCCTTAAAAGGCACACATGCTGCTGGACACCGGGGTACGCATGACAGCTTACCCGATGTACTTGGCGAGGGTGAGGGAACAGGGGCCAGTTGTGCAGCATCCACCTCAGTCTCGCTACGCACAACTATGTATGCTCTAACAGC